CACTATTTCAACTCGCACCCCTGCCACTATTTCAACTCGCACCCCTACCACTATTTCAACTCGCACCCCTGCCACTATTTCAACCCGCACCCCTCCCACTATTTCAACTCGCACCCCTGCCACTATTTCAACTTGCACCCCTGCCACTACTTCAACTCGCACCCCTGCCACTATTTCAACTCGCACCCAAGCAGCCCTGGCCCTACTCCCCACATCCCTGTGACTACATGTCACCCCATGTCCCTACTCCCTTTACCCGTGCCACTTCTTCTCGCACCCTTGCCAGTGCATGTCGCTATCCTGCCACTACTCCCGGCACTCCAGCAATTATTCCCCACGACCCTGACACTACTTCCCGCCTTTTGTTAAGAAACCCTGGTCTATATCCAGAAAGGCAAACTTATACGAACAATAGGGGTTGGTATAACTAATTGTTACAAGCTTTTAATGACTCACAAAAACACACGCCAAGGCCAAACTATTATAAGACTTCAGTGAGCGAATAACGGGACTCGTTACGGATGATCGACGCCGACAGTCCTAAATAAGGACATGAATAAACTGTGTACACAAGTCAGAATTCACACTTTTGAACCAAAAGTACATCTTTATCCTCGTAATTAAGGTCAATCGGGGAAAAACCTTGTTGTTTTCACGGAAAAACAACTTTTGCCCTTGAATGGAGTTTCAATATATAAAGTTCTAAATATAGATACAGATATATGACGATATATTTATTTATTCAATACCGACAAAAAATAATATTTCTTCTATGTTACAATAATATGCATGTGTTTTACAAAAGCATTTCTAATTTATTTCCACATCGATTTCTTATGTAGAACATCCCACACTAAATCTGCAGAGACTGAGACCAGGGTCTGAAAGTCAAAACATTGTATCTATGCTTTACTTAAATATTTCAGAATTTTTCAATTTTTTTTTAATCTTCAAAGACGATTTTTAAAAATTCTATATTTATAACCCAACCAAGCCATGTAAGTTTAATGGGTTAACTAGGAGAAGGTCACACGTTTAATGGTTTAACTTAGAGAGAGTCATGAGTTAAATGGCTTAATTTGGAGAGACTCACAGAGCCCCAGGTGGAGAGACTCACAGAGCCCAAGTTGGAGAAAGTTTATTGTTAAAGACTTTTAAGTAAGTATTAATTACTGGAATAAATTATCCGGTGAATATCGGTAGACATTCTGCGATATTTACGACATTTATCTTCTAAAGAATTTACGCTTACCCTGCCCCTTTTCGCTCACATGAGCAACCATTTTTGTTTTTCTAAAAATTGTACATTCGTATCTATATATTTACAACAAAAAAAAAATAGCAAACACCATTTTAATATCGTTTACATAAACGGAATTCTATATATTGAAAATGTAACCAAACGTTTCCCTCGCTTCTCTTTTCTACTATGGTAAAATGGTAAAACGCATAATTCTTTTATTTAAAAAGGAATCATTTAACCCATTTTCAAGTCTGTAAACGCTTTGTGTGTTGTTTTAAGGAAATAATATTAATCTTTAAAAATTTCCACCGAACTTTTCAAGAACTTCACTTTTCGCAAACTGGAAACAAATAAATATTTCCATATTACCAAAGAAAATCTTAACCAATCTTTGTTCATGCCCACGTTATGTTCAAGGGAAAAAAATATTGCTCAATTTTTAAGATTAAATTTTAACGTGTGTAAAATGATTATGCTATGAGATGTTTCTTTGAGAAAATGTTTTTTTTTTTGTACTTGTGTAAATTTTACCCACGCTTTAAAATACCCATTGAAATATATTTTCTTAAATGGAAAATCATATATTAATTTCTTAACAGAAAAGGTAGCATATAGACTAGTGCCGCGGATGGATATACGGATCAAGCACCTTTTTTTTTAATGCAATGAGTTCACGGGGTCAACACTTTGTGTTTGCCTCTAGTTAAGCATAATGTTGCCTGAATGTTAAACCCAGCATCGACCACATCCATTTGACATCTAGGCTATGTCACTTACTTGAAAGTACTAAAAACGCGTAATTTTGATTCTTTATTTCGTAATTTAAGAAAAATAATAATTCATTTGAAACGTCGAAATGGTCAGGATTTTTGTACTCTACCATTAAAAGACTACGCTTAAAAGTTAGTGAAAACCATGTTGAAATATATTTCCAAACTATATTCAAATAAAATAATATACAAAATATTCATCTAACAAGCTCAAACTTAATTTCATTAATAATTAGCCTTTTTTTTCCTAAGTGAGGGAGGGTTCTAAAATTTGATAACTTCATTCCTGATTTGTTTAAGGTCTTTACTAATAATTGGAGTAGTCTCCTTGTGGCAATGACTGGGATCTAAGTCCATGAAAATGTTTTTTGATCTTAGACGGATGCCAATTTAAGTACTCTCGTGTCTGCATGTCTTCCCTAACGTGAGGGGCAATAACTCCTCTCTCCGTCTCACATCGCCCCAGGGACTGACTGCTTCTGGTCCCACGTCCATGTCGCTGTGGTTTGTGCGGTAGAACGAACTGCTGAAGTTCTAGTGGACCCTCAGTCTCCACGGTAGAGCCATCTGCGCTTACCATTTTTTTAGAACCAACGACGTGTCCATCCTTCACAACTGCGTCATCACGCGCATCGCGTGACGTCCCATGTTGACGACACCCCACGTGGCTGTCAGTGAGACGAGGGTTATAGCTGACCGTAGCGAACTGATGGTTTTCTCTGCACATAAAACAGTACGTCGTCCTGTGATCAGACCCGAAGACGGATTCCTCTCCGCTTTTAGCGTACGACGTGTCTTGAGTGCTCGATGTGTCAGAAATGGCAAACAGTGACAGCGGCGTGATATAATCATCCTCGTCATAGCAAGGATGGCTGCACCCAGGAGTAACATCGTGTGATCTCGCCATGCCCTGGGAGTCCCCACGATGAATGCCCTCCACTAACATGTTCAAAGAACCATCACGTGAGTTTCGACCACCCGCATCGGCAAAACTGAAACAGGTTTCCTGGTATTTTTCTTGGGAGGCTTCTGATGACAAAGAACCGGAATCTTCACAAACGGTTAAGTAAGTCGCGTGGTTTACGACGTCCGGCAGGTTCGGTTGCGGCGACAAATACCCGAGGTTGTCCATTAAGATACGTCTGCCTGGGCTTGGCCTCATGAGGAGTTCCTCTTCCGTCGACAGGGTTTCCCCAGAAGGACAATCGTCCACGGGTTGGCGGACTGCGCTTTGATGGTGAGCCAAACTATGGACGCCAATCGGTTCATAAATATGCTCCGAGTTTCTGTAGATTCCGTGTGAGGATTGAGAAGAGACGGTCGAATTCTGCCGTCTAGGCTTCCGACTGAGTCTGGCAGAACACATCAGGACCTGGCCTAGGATGAACACGAGGAGTATGACCGCAATGACGGAGATTATGATGTAGACAAGTGGCATGGAGTCTGCTGTTTTCACATACGAGACAGCGTTGGTGTAATCTGCCGTGTCGTTACCTGAAATGTTGTAGACACTGATTGAAACATAGGAGACAAGGTCCAAACATTTGGCGGTCTCATAGATTGCTGAACAGTTACAGGTGGCCCTGTCCACATCACGAGAGCCCGTCAGTGCGAGATGTGCACTGTTTGAAATTGTATGTGATCGACCAATAATGGATCCATTCTTCCAGCAGGTTAGAATAAGTTTGCTTAGTGGGTGTGCTTGCTCTGAATCCTGACACGTCAAAATAAAGTGCTCCCCGAGGCGTATGTAAACGACGTTCTGCAGGTTTGAACCGAGTTTGAACTCGGGAGGCTTTGTCGGTGGCCAGGGGGTGGTTATGCTAGTGCTTGTCGACATCTGATCGTCTGTGGCCTGACACGTGACTATCTTGCCGTAATGATTAGGAGTTAGCTTGAGATTGGAAGCGCAGCTGTTTGCCGCTTTGCAGCTCGTCTTGCTCTTTTCTGTAGCATTGATCTTGTCTATGAACCAGCGAAATTTCGGCAATGACCCGAAGTCGTGGGCCTCACAATGTATCAGTATGGGACTGCAAAAACTAAAAGGCACAGAACCATTACTCAAAGACACCCACGGTTTTCGTTCTTGGATAATTATGCCATGGATGACATTGACATTATTACCACATCCAGTATCCACAAAGCCAATTAAAGAATAGTTGCCAGGTTTAGCATGTGTTATCTCCACTTGGCAATGCAATAAATATCCTCCGTCATGACGCGCTCCGACTTCATGTGTGAATTCAGCGTTGGGTTTATGACTCGTCGCGTTTGTTAAATTTTCTTCCAGTCGGAGACTGCAGTTAAAAGTTTGAGATAAACTTTCAATACGACATGTGTAGAACAAATGAATACCGTGCGTCCTGCTGACGCTGCACTGGACTGAATCGCCACGGGCGCAGAATTCCAGCCGACAGGTCATCTTGTCAAGATGGGCAGGCTTCCTGTTGTCGGTGAACACGCACCTGACGACGGTATCGGCGTCCTCCTCTGTGACACTGTCAAACACGAGATGTGTCACGGAGTGGCGCGAGTGCTCCGTGACGTTGGCGTGGACACGCTCCTTGGAGTGGGCAGAAGCAGCGGAGGGGTTGACGAACGCCTTCTTGCCTGCTGGTGAGATCAAGGTCCAGTGGACGTTGGCGCTGTAGAGTATATTTAAACATATAAACTTACATCTGCAGTAGGTACCTACGCTTAAATAGGTGAATGCTTTTCTATTATAATATTGGATAGAATTGTTGCTTAAGTTAAAATCGATACAGATTGTACATTTTTGAAGGTGCTGATGTATTTTCTTAAACATTTTAAGGCCGTACGCTTTCCCAATGATATCTTCAGTTATGCAAGTGTCGACGCACGATAAACAGCCTACAGTTATATTTTTTTACAAAAACACATTCAAACACTGACATCAATCTGAATACGTAAAAACGAGTTAATTTCTTTTACACATGTCTTGAGGGCAGTGGCGTAGCTAGGGTTAGTCCAACCGGGGCAGGGCCAAGACTTTTTTCCGTACTTTTTCACCAGAAATATCTCTGCAATACCGCCACTCAAATATAAAGGGTGGAAAACATGCCACCCGGGGCCTGACCACCCACTTGCGCTACCCGTTGCTACGCCACTGCACGGAACAATGCGTCTAAATCTCATTTTAATACATTGTATTTTCAATTGTTCTCTTGCTCTTAGAATCAGAAATGCATTCGTCCAATAAATGACATTTAAAGGAATAAATTATAGTTAACAGCGCTGTCAAACTGAAGTAGTAGCGCACGCTTCAAGTTTGCTGGTTTCGCTGTTTTCAGAATCTGGAAATCAGATGATCAGATAGATATGTAAAGTAGGAGCCATTTCCAAAGCTTTAAAATGGGATATCTTACATTAGTATTGATCCTTAAATAATGCGTTGTGTTTTCACAAACTTTTGTCTTAATGGTAGATTTTTAAATAATTTCTTTTCTTTTTTTTTTTTTGGGTGGTGGGGGTGGTGGGGATGGTGGGGGTGTGAGGGTGGCTTTTAATCACACTATGGTGTCACTCCCTTTAGTCTCGTGATGTTAAGGAGATGAATTTTGGTGCGCAATCTGGAGGAAAGACGACTGTTTTCAGGTTGCGCGATTTAACCAGTCTTATTGGATTAAAGAAAGAACACAAGGATGCATAGCTTACCTGGCAATTGAACATCTCAAAGATGGATAGCTAACCTGGCAGGTGAACATCTCAAAGATGGATAGCTAACCTGGCAGGTGAACATCTCAAAGATGGATAGCTAACCTGGCAGGTGAACATCTCAAAGATGGATAGCTAACCTGGCAGGTGAACATCTCAAAAATGGATAGCTAACCTGGCAGGTGAACATCTCAAAGATCCATAGCTTATATGGCAGTTGAACAGCGCAAGATTGTATAGCTTACCTGGCAGTTGAACATGAAAAGAGTGTATAGCTTACCTGGCAGTTGAACATCACAAGATTGTATAGCTCACCTGGCATTTGAAAATCATAAGAATGAATAGCTCACCTAGCTGTTGAACATCACAAGGATGCATAGTTTATCTGGCCGTTGAAAATAACAATATTGTATAGCTTACCTGGCCGTTGAACATCACTAGGATGCAAAGCTTACCTGGCCGTTGAAAATCACAAGATTGTATTGTCTACCTGACTGTTGAACATCACAATGATGCATAGATTACCTGACTGTTGAACATCCCAATGATGCATAGATTATCTGACTGTTGAACATCCCAACGATGCATAGATTACCTGACTGTTGAACATCCAAATGATGCATAAATTACCTGACTGTTGAACATCCAAATGATGCATAAATTACCTGACTGTTGAACATCCCAATGATGCATAGATTACCTGACTGTTGAACATCCCAATGATGCATAGATTACCTGACTGTCGAACATCCCAATGATGCATAGATTACATGACTGTTGAACATCACAATGATGCATAGATTACCTGACTGTTGAACATCACAATGATGCATAGATTACCTGACTGTTGAACATCCCAATGATGCATAGATTACCTGACTGTTGAACATCCCAATGATGCATAGATTACCTGACTGTTGAACATCCCAATGATGCATAGATTACCTGACTGTTGAACATCCCAATGATGCATAGATTACCTGACTGTTGAACATCCCAATGATGCATAGATTACCTGACTGTTGAACATCCCAATGATGCATAGATTACCTGACTGTTGAACATCCCAATGATGCATAGATTACCTGACTGTTGAACATCCCAATGATGCATAGATTACCTGACTGTTGAACATCCCAATGATGCATAGATTACCTGACTGTTGAACATCCCAATGATGCATAGATTACCTGACTGTTGAACATCCCAATGATGCATAGATTACCTGACTGTTGAACATCCCAATGATGCATAGATTACCTGACTGTTGAACATCCCAATGATGCATAGATTACCTGACTGTTGAACATCCCAATGATGCATAGATTACCTGACTGTTGAACATCCCAATGATGCATAGATTACCTGACTGTTGAACATCCCAATGATGCATAGATTACCTGACTGTTGAACATCCCAATGATGCATAGATTACCTGACTGTTGAACATCCCAATGATGCATAGATTACCTGACTGTTGAACATCCCAATGATGCATAGATTACCTGACTGTTGAACATCCCAATGATGCATAGATTACCTGACTGTTGAACATCCCAATGATGCATAGATTACCTGACTGTTGAACATCCCAATGATGCATAGATTACCTGACTGTTGAACATCCCAATGATGCATAGATTACCTGACTGTTGAACATCCCAATGATGCATAGATTACCTGACTGTTGAACATCCCAATGATGCATAGATTACCTGACTGTTGAACATCCCAATGATGCATAGATTACCTGACTGTTGAACATCCCAATGATGCATAGATTACCTGACTGTTGAACATCCCAATGATGCATAGATTACCTGACTGTTGAACATCCCAATGATGCATAGATTACCTGACTGTTGAACATCCCAATGATGCATAGATTACCTGACTGTTGAACATCCCAATGATGCATAGATTACCTGACTGTTGAACATCCCAATGATGCATAGATTACCTGACTGTTGAACATCCCAATGATGCATAGATTACCTGACTGTTGAACATCCCAATGATGCATAGATTACCTGACTGTTGAACATCCCAATGATGCATAGATTACCTGACTGTTGAACATCCCAATGATGCATAGATTACCTGACTGTTGAACATCCTAAGGATGCATAGATTACCTGACTGTTGAACATCCCAATGATGCATAAATTACCTGACTGTTGAACATCCCAATGATGCATAGATTACCTCACTGTTGAACATCCCAATGATGTATAGATTACATGACTGTTGAACATCCCAATGATGCATAAATTACCTGACTGTTGAACATCCCAATGATGCATAGATTACCTGACTGTTGAACATCACAATAATGCATAGATTACCTGACTGTTGAACATCCAAATGATGCATAAATTACCTGACTGTTGAACATCCCAATGATGCATAGATTACCTGACTGTTGAACATCCCAATGATGCATAGATTACCTGACTATTGAACATCCCAATGATGCATAGATTACCTGACTGTTGAACATCCCAATGATGCATAGATTACCTGACTGTTGAAAATCCCAATGATGCATAGATTACCTGACTGTTGAACATCCCAATGATGCATAGATAACATGACTTTTGAACATCACAATGATGCATAGATTACCTGACTGTTGAACATCACAGTGATGCATAGATTAACTGACTTTTGAACATCCCAATGATGCATAGATTACCTGACTGTTGAACATCCCAATGATGCATAGATTACCTGACTGTTGAACATCCCAATGATATATAGATTACCTTACTGTTGAACATCCCAATTATGCATAGATTACCCTACTGTTGAACATCCCAATGATGCATAGATTACCTGACTGTTGAACATCCCAATGATGCATAGATTACCTGACTGTTGAACATCCCAATAATGCATAGATTACCTGACTGTTGAACATCCCAGTGATGCATAGATTACCTGACTGTTGAACATCCCAATGATGCATAGATTACCTGACTATTTAAAATCCCAATGATGCATAGATTACCTGACTATTGATCATCACATGATGCATAGATTACCTGACCGTTGATCATCCCAATGATGCATAGATTACCTGACTGTTGAACATCCCAATGATGCATAGATTACCTGACTGTTGAACATCCCAATGATGCATAGATTACCTGACTGTTGAACATCCCAATGATGTATAGATTACCTGACTGTTGAACATCCCAATGATGCATAGATTACCTGACTGTTGAACATCCCAATGATGCATAGATTACCTGACTGTTGAACATGCCAATGATGCTTAGATTACCTGACTGTTGAACATCCCAATGATGCATAGATTACCTGACTGTTGAACATCCCAATGATGCATAGATTACCTGACTGTTGAACATCACAGGCTTGCCTAGCTAACATCGCAACTGAACATCGCTCTGGTTTCCTACCTGTGTCTTTCGGTGTACGGGCAAACAGATGGAGCTAGTTGCCACACCAAGACCCGGCGCTTGAGCTCTAACCCTCAACAGGATACGTATGTTAGTGCAAAAGTAAAGACAGCTGAAAGCTTAGAAGTAGTTAAAAAATGTTGGCCTAGGAAGTAGGCATTGTAATTATTTCTCTTAGGTTGTTTTTTGAGGGGGGAGGTGGGTGGAGGTTATTATTTTTTTATTGATTTTTTTTTTTTTTTTTTTTTTTTAATGGGATACGAAATCTACAAAACGATGTTGGATACAAAGTTTTTATTTTTTTTTTTTTTTTTTAAAATTTTTTTTAAAACCCTTTTTTTTTATTTTTTTTTTTTTTTTTTTTTTTTTTTTTTTTTTTAATGGGATAAGAAATCTACAAAACGATGTTGGATACAAAGTTTTTATTTTTCTTTTTTTTTTTTAAAATATTGTTTAAAACCCATTTTTTTTTTTTAAAGTTTTAAAAAAGATCCGTGCTTTTCACCTGGTGGTATCCCCTGTACAGTTTAAGTGGTATGGTCTTCCAACAACTGCTCGAGGTTGACAGACATCTGGGTGTTCGCTTGTCATCCCAGATTGGAACAGCAAAAGCAAAATTTGTATGATCAAGTTTGGACTCATTTTTTTTTGTTGTTGTTTTTTGTTTGTTATGCAGTGGCGGCTGTTCAAGATATGTCTTTGCGATGGTGAGACAGTTTAAGACAAATCTTTACGACATCTCACCTAATATTTACTGTGGCACATCTGGGTGCTTGAAATCGGTAGTGTGATGCAATGTCGTAGGACATTTTCAGAAGTCAAGTAACATTCATAAACTTCGCATTATTTATTATTTGAGATTATTTAGTTGTATCAAGGTATGAAGATATATCTCTCTCTCTCTAATTTCTTTTTTTTTTTTTTTTTTTTTTTTTTTTTTTTTTTTTTTTTTTTTTTTTTTTGTAGTAAAACTGATGGTAAGAAATATTTAAATTTTTAGGGACAAATATATTTATATATATATAAATATAAATATATATAAATTAAAAGCACGTAAATTTGCTTTCAAGTCAAAGTACGGTTTTTCTTTGCCTGGTTAGTTTCATAAAATATATTTTTTTAAAGGCTTTTAAAACAATCTTTTAAAACTTTTTTAATCCAACCACGATGGCGGTGAAAGACAGCACACACAAAACGGTGCGAAGAGATCCACGCGAGTAATCCATGAAAAGATTATTAACACAACAGTTGAATTCCTATCTATGTCGTGAACACCTTACTCCCTAAGCAACATGCTGCTGATCTCAATGAATGGAAATTATAAGATTTTCATGAATTGTGAAGAAAAAAAATGTGCGTCTATATTCAACAGTTTTACAAAGTGAATAAACTAGTTTTATTTTGTCTGTAGTCTTGAGAAAAACACGGGTTTCTCTTTCCACGGAAATTATAAACGTGTTTCAGTTGGGGTTTTTTTTTAACCTGAGAGCCAGGTTGTGGCCTTGGCATACTTTTTTTGTGCGTTCACATTATGGGTCAATATGGCTGCCATGATGACATTGGTCGCGGTGGCGAAGTCAACAAAAAGCGGAGTAAAAGAGAGGCAAGGGGGGCGCAATCTGCATCATTACGCACTGTTCGTAGGAAGTCCACGCGATCTTCGCTATGACTCAGGAAGTCGTTTCTCTTAGTTTCCTCAGAAAATGGGTCGCTGAGTGTTATCAAGACCCACCGCCCCTTCTAGTTATGATGTGCGGTGAACTTCTGGTAAACAAAGAGGAAAAAAACATAAAATATAATTATGGCGATTCCCACTGGCTATTTTAAAACTAAAACGTGTTCAAACAGAAGGCTGGAGCAGGCAATATTTATGAACTATGGATGCGAAGGAAGATGCTATTGTAGTAGGGAGAATGAATTTTGATTTATTTTTTTTTATCGTAGAAAACGCCTTTTTGACTAACCCTACTTTGAAAGTGATCAAGCTGACAGACTCGGAATTAGCCTCACGTGTACACACTGGCAGCAATTTTAATAGGGATTCTTTGCTACCGTGTCAGATTGCTAAAACCGACACAGTTATGATTACGCATTATTACCCACTAACTGACTTTTGAAACGTTTGATATGTGTGAAAACAATACTTGAAGAGTGTTTTCTCAAAACCAAACTTAGACCGCAATGCTTGTCTCATGTGATGCTATTACATAAAAACGTTTAGTCGATTTTCAAATCTGTCTTCAGAGTTTTAATTTTAAACAAAAGCTCCCCCAAAATATTATGTGGGTATTTTGTACTGGTATATCACTGGTAGAAACAATTTTTTTGGAGGGGTGGAGACTTCTTAGACAAGGAACTTATTTTTTTTTGCTAACAATGTCTCTCTTTTATTTCTTTCTTTTTTTTTTAAGAGGAGTTAAAGCAAAAACTGTCACTTAACAATTGAACTTCAGTCACTATAAAAAAAAAAACTTTAAAAAACCCAAGAAAATATAAGTGAAAAAGATATGTTTAGGCTTAAAGTAAAAGACAGAACAATTAAAAATATGTTTTTTTCCGGCTAAATGCCACACGATGAGAACCGCTGTACTTCATCACCCAATTATGATTTNTTTAATTTTAAACAAAAGCTCCCCCAAAATATTATGTGGGTATTTTGTACTGGTATATCAATGGTAGAAACAATTTTTTTGGAGGGGTGGAGACTTCTTAGACAAGGAACTTATTTTTTTTTGCTAACAATGTCTCTTTTTTATTTCTTTCTTTTTTTTTTAAGAGGAGTTAAAGCAAAAACTGTCACTTAACAATTGAACTTCAGTCACTATAAAAAAAAAAACTTTAAAAAACCCAAGTAAATATAAGTGAACAAGATATGTTTAGGCTTAAAGTAAAAGACAGAACAATTAAAAATATGTTTTTTTCCGGCTAAATGCCACACGATGAGAACCGCTGTACTTCATCACCCAATTATGATTTACATTACTCTTGCCCTCGGGCTACAATAATTAAACTACATTTGAGAAACAAGTCCATGCCATTGTTTGGTGAAAATATGAATAGAAATATTTGTTTAAGTTACTTCCGGAGATATAAATAATTTTTGCATTAGCATATGTGCCTAAACGTGACATTAGTGAGACAGTACAGGACACAGCCTAAACGTGACAGTAGTGAGACAGTACAGGACACAGCCTAAACGTGACAGTAGTGAGACAGTACAGGACAAAGCCTAAACGTGACATTAGTGAGACATTACAGGACACAGCCTAAACGTGACATTAGTGAGACAGTACAGGACACAGCCTAAACGTGACAGTAGTGAGACAGTACAGGAAACAACCTAAACCTGACAGTAGTGAGACAGTACAGGACACAGCCCAAACGTGACAGTAGCGAGACAGTACAGGAAACAAACTAAACGTGTCATTAGTGAGACAGTACAGGACACAGCCTAAACGTGACAGTCGTGAGACAGTACAGAACACAGCCCAAACGTGACAGTCGTGAGACAGTACAGAACACAGCCCATACGTGACAGTAGTGAGACAGTACAGAACACAGCCCAAATGTGACAGTAGTGAGACAGTACAGGACACTACCTAAACGTGACAGTAGTGAGACAGTACAGAACACAGCCTAAACGTGACAGTAGTGAGACAGTACAGGACACAACCTAAACGTGACAGTAGTGAGACAGTGCAGGACACAACCTTAACGTGACATTAGTGAGACAGTACAGGACACAACCCAAATGTGACAGTAGTGAGACAGTACAGGACACAACCTAAACGTGACAGTAGTGAGACAGTACAGAACACAGCCTAAACGTGACAGTAGTGAGACAGTACAGAACACAGCCTAAACGTGACAGTAGTGAGACAGTACAGGAAACAACCTAAACGTGACAGTAGTGAGACAGTACAGGACACAACCTAAACGTGACAGTAGTGAGACAGTACAGGACACAACCTAAACGTGACAGTAGTGAGACAGTACAGGACACAACCTAAACGTGACAGTAGTGAGACAGTACAGGACACAACCTAAACGTGACAGTAGTGAGACAGTACAGGACACAACCTAAACGTGACAGTAGTGAGACAGTACAGGACACAACCTAAACGTGACAGTAGTGAGACAGTACAGGACACAACCTAAACGTGACAGTAGTGAGACAGTACAGGACACAACCTAAACGTGACAGTAGTGAGACAGTACAGGACACAACCTAAACGTGACAGTAGTGAGACAGTACAGGACACAACCTAAACGTGACAGTAGTGAGACAGTACAGGACACAACCTAAACGTGACAGTAGTGAGACAGTACAGGACACAACCTAAACGTGACAGTAGTGAGACAGTACAGGACACAACCTAAACGTGACAGTAGTGAGACAGTACAGGACACAACCTAAACGTGACAGTAGTGAGACAGTACAGGACACAACCTAAACGTGACAGTAGTGAGACAGTACAGGACACAACCTAAACGTGACAGTAGTGAGACAGTACAGGACACAACCTAAACGTGACAGTAGTGAGACAGTACAGAACACAGCCTAAACGTGACAGTAGTGAGACAGTACAGAACACAGCCTAAACGTGACAGTAGTGAGACAGTACAGGAAACAACCTAAACGTGACAGTAGTGAGACAGTACAGGACACAACCTAAACGTGACAGTAGTGAGACAGTACAGTACACAACCTAAACGTGACAGTAGTGAGACAGTACAGGAAACAACCTAAAGGTGACATTAGTGAGACAGTACAGGAAACAGCCTAAACGTGACAGTAGTGAGACAGTACAGGACACAGTCTATACGTGACAGTAGTGAGACAGTACAGGAAACAACCTAAACGTGACATTAGTGAGAAAATATAGAACACAGTCTAAACGTGACAGTAGTGAGACAGTACATAACACAACCTAATGATGACATTAGGGAAAAGGGACAGAACACAACATCAACGTGACAGTAGCGAAACAGTACAGAACACGGCCTAAACGTGACATTAGTGAGACAATATAGAAAACAGCCTTAACGTGCCATTAGTGAGACAATATAGAGCATAGTCTCAACGTGCCATTAGTGAGACAATATAGAACACAGCCTTAACGTGACATTAGTGAGACAATATAGAACACAGCTTTAACGTGACATTATTGAGACACTATAGAACACAGCCTTAACGTGACATTAGTGAGACAATATAGAACACAGCCTAGTGAGACAGTACAGAACGCAGCCTGAAGGTGAAACTAGTGAGACAGTCAAAAACACTGCGGTAATTGTGTAACCCTTACAGTAGTATTTTATCAACAACCCACTAAGTTATGAACTTTTACCAAGCAATGTGATCTTTAGGTCAAGGCCAGTTTCTAAACGTTACAGTTAAACGCGTAAACAAGCGTTTCGGCCCTGACATAAACACACTGGTCTATATTTAATATATAGGTCAACCATTTAAATGATTCATTAATCATTGTGATTCTTATAGGGCTTTGTCGACAGTAATTTAGTAATGCGGGGAAACACCAGGCCTTTGTCAATTGTTTAAATGATATAGAAACATCCTAAGAGCAGATGGGGTTAAACAGACCACAGGGAAATCCCCGGAAAAAAACCCAACAGCTGGTGATATGATGCTAGAGAGCATATTTAGTGTATGTGATATGACAGGCTTTGATACGAATGGAAACCGAAACAAAAAATCTGGTTCTCAAACGTTTTGATGGTGGTCTCCCACGATCATGAGAACGGGCTGATTGGCTGGTAGTCGACCTTCAAGTCTTTAAAATATTATGCAAGAAAAAATCATAAAAACCATATCAAATGGGTCTATTCTTATTTTTATCTGGCCTAAATTCAAAACAGCCGCCTTTTTTAGAATGATACAGTATTTCA